CTGTACCGTCACAGATTTCGGCGCTACAGTCATAGATCCAAGTAGAGTGAGCTCGCTCTGGATTAAGGAGTGGTTAAAGCATGTCTTTCTCGTATGCTGACTAAAACCGCGAATAACATTTTGTTATTCACCTCAGTAGTATCCGTGGCTACGATGTCGAATCTCCTGAGTAGATGGGCGAGCACAAGTTTTTCTTCCAGTTGTGCCAACCTCATGCCGATGCACTGTCGAGGTCCCAAACCAAACGGAATCCATGCAGCCACAGGTCGTGATGATTCTAGCCATCTGAATCCACATCATTACTAGAATCCGATGGCTGGTTTGCACGTTTACATTTTTGCCAAAGATATGGAAGTAGAAACTCCCCTTTAAATTTTGGCTTAGCGTAATCAACTTTTGAATCTGCCAAACTACAAAAGCTATGTTTTTTGCATCACACTGTGATTCTACCTCAAAATCGAACTTCATGGACAGCGAGATAGTAGTTGCTGTTTTGTAGAAATAACTGTAAAGTAAAATTTTGCCAATAGATAAGTGTGAGAGTGCAGCGGTGGGTTCTGCTCATAAAGTAAGCGTGCTTATCCTGCCTTTCTATCTCAAGTTTATATCAAACAACAAATCACATTTTTGGAGCAAAATGTTCCCGACTTTTCAACGTGTACGCTATTGTTGCCTAATTTATCATTAGCCAAGTGTCCAAGTTCTACTCGTTATGGCACATGAGATTCCATTTGTTTTATCCAAATATTTGTTTTTACAAAGCACATTCAAGACTGTTCTTTAAGTGTACAATCGGCCCTGGATGCTGCTCAAAATAAAACTTCATGCTGTGACGTAGAAATAACTTCACTATAATTTTGTATTTCTTCCTACCTATCAGGTCGAAATTCGTTCGCGTCTTTCCCCCATATCTCAGGGTCGTAGTGCAGTGATAAGGTGTCGACCATCACAAAGGTTCCCTCTTCAATCTGTACATTTCCAAGTGTAGTTGATTTCATGCATTGACGAGAGTTTGCGCTGTAACGTACAAGATTACGGTTATATCCTCATTAATAATTTCCTAAAAATGCAAAATGATTTATGAAACTAAAAATAATGATATGTTTGACACATTAATCGCAACGTACGGCATCGTAGCGGGGACTGCCACGAGCATATGTGGCACTAGTGCCGTACACCTTTATTACTACAGGTTTATGCTCAAATTTGTCTGAGATTGATTACAGTGGAAGCTACAATAAAACAATTCCAAATAACATATTGGTTCCCCTCAGTAACGCCCCTGAGATTTCGGAAGTTCTTGTAGGGGCTTGCTTGCTATAAATATAATAATACATTAAATATTTGATGTGTGATCCCAGCTATTATGTTTTCGAAAGTTGAAAGCGAAGGCAGATATCGTATTTGCGTGCTACATCTGATAAGTCATACCAATTACTTAGAAAAACTGTTACAGAACACTGTTGTGGATTCCTTCTAGTTCCACCATTTCACCTTTAAACGTCCACAAACTGAGCAGTTTACTGCATACCGTCTACTGTTACAACTACATAAGACGATTTTTTATAGATGGGTATTTAAACTGAGCGTATCATTTAATGCATATATCTCTAATCTATATGTAGACTAGCAAAAAGACTCATTGTCATGAAAGCGTTAATTACGAATTGTCCATGTACGAAAGTTTATGTAGCTAAGCTTGAACCTCTGCAACTGAAAAAAACAGCGCATTACATCTTAGCACGAGCGGCTTTTGTTCTTGCTTTTTCTAATGGTGCCAGAGCAATAATCGCTTCTTCCTTTTTTTGGTTAAACCTTTACACAAGGTAGGTACTAAATACTTGTTATGCTTACAAGCTAGCCACTGGATACATCCGAAGGCTTTCTTTCATAACGCAGTCGAGGTACTTCATCGAGGCCAACGTCTCATAACTGATTGTCTGGAATTAATATCAACACTGGAAAAAGGAAAAAA